AATGTATTGTAATCTGTTGATTGCTTCTGTTATGAAAATAATGGTTTTCTGTGTTAATGAATTGCATATTAAGCTTTATTCAGTTTTATTACTCACTTCATATCTTGAATTGTATGATATATTTGCGTTTTTTTAACTATCTAGAACAATTTATTCTAGTCGTTGAAGATATAACACCACGGAACGAAGAGAAGAATGAAGGATTTCATGTGGATACGATTCCAGATCATGTTTTAAGAACACCAGAACGTCTTTCGCCGCTATTTATCAAGTTATGCTACATTTCAAGGGAATAATATATTAAATGATTTGGAAATTTAAAAAAACGTATAAAATTCTATTACAGTATACATGTGTTGTTATTCTATCTTACATTTGGAAGTAAACGTTAAACAAAAGCGAATTTTGAGTAGACACAATATGGCTAACAGTGGAATCCAGGGTATGTGTCTTGTTTTGTTTCGGACAAGTCAGTTGATTTTCACCTCAAGTTTCCAGTTCATTCTCTTTCGCTCCAAACGCCAACGCATTATCGGCTTAGTTCCTCAGTCTAAATAGCCATTCACTTGTGTGAATTTCAATTTAATTTGTAACGATTTAAGTTATCCCTACGTTAATATTTAAAGCAATTAGGATTGATCGAATTTCAGTTAAAGTATCAACAACGAGGTAATCCAAAGCATTAAAAATTCAACAAAAACTAAGTTCTTCTTCCAATTATGACATAAATAGTTAGGTTGAAAGTAAACTAATATCAATAATGTTGTCACATAATTGTGTTGACAATAATATTACGCATAAATTATTTGAAGATGCTTAACAAGCATCAGGATACTGATCATCGACCCTCCCCGAAAAAACAAATTCCTCGTAAGATAATGTGGGTTATATTTTACCATTAGTCTACTTCATAAAGTCACAGAACATTATTTTGAAGCACACATGGATATGTGAACCTTTTAGCTAAAATTTCAAACATAATAGAAATAATCGGTTCAAGATCATGATGTAATTTGATTTGAAAGTGATCTTAATGTCTCACTGTTTACTTTTCTTTCAATCTGTAATGTTTGTTCGACTATCTTATCCTTAGATGGTGGTTGGAGGTAGTCGACAGGATACCCTAGACCCGGGTTTCGTGCTACTTGGCACTCGTCAGCAAGGTGTACCTGTAATCTTTGAGGGAATTGGTGCTCCCTGGCGGATTCGATCCCGTGTCCAGGGTTTCCTGTCGACTACTTCCAACCACCATCTAATCTCACAATAGTGCCCGCAGTATTGAGTCACCTAGACTGGTGGCCACATTGCAACATGATCGATAGTATTCGATCTGCACTAATAATAAGGACTAGACACACATGACATTGGTCACCACCCAGCGATCAATTAATTGTGACTATCTTATCCATTCAATTTTTAAAGAACTAATCAATCAAGACACTAATAATCTTGCAAGAATATAAAACTGTGAAATCGTTATTCCGGTTGAAAAAAGTTTAGTGGCCCGTTATTTTGACTCCAGTTAGATCAGATGATGATGTCGATGCGCTCATCAATTTAGTGGCCCGAAATCTGACTCCAATTTGATCGTGAAATTATCGTTATCGAATTAAATATGTCACCAATCCTCGTATATAATCATCGACTTAAATCGCGTTGGTGAATAACGGAATTAACTAAAAGACTAGTATTTGAACGAAGAATATTCTTTTCGATAAATTCTCTTCAGGCCCTACAATTTATATATCCAAAGTAATAATCCGAAAAATGGCCAGGTTAAGGGCAGAGTACATCGTTTAAAGTATGTGAATTTAGGATTGTTAAACAAAATACAATAAAATTGTTAGTGCTGATATGACTCAGATAAAATATTAACCTGAATCTGCGTATATGTTAAGTGAAATTTAAGATCCATGATCAGAATAAATATGGGTGAGATAGGGTAAGGGAAATAATAATAGTGCAATTACAATTCAGTCAAATGTTTAGTGGGAGGTTATATTGTGTGGAGGGATAAATGCGAATTGAGATTAATAATGATGTTTACCCAATAGCAATAATAATAATAATAATAAAGACAATTACAATTGACTACGAATGGTCGTAGTCAAATTGGGTCATTCAATAGCTAAAATTACTATTGATTAATTAGCCTTGATGTTGGCCAGGGGAGGAGTGGTTGAAGATATTTCTTCTGTACGCATAGTTCCGGTTTCTTCATCTGGATAGCTACTGCTTCAGCCGTTTGAAGGACTTTAAGTCTGACAAGTTTTGGTAAAAATTTACTGACCTTAAAAATAATTGAAAAAGATTGGAATTAAATAAGTCAAATCCGAGAATGAATTTCGAATACGTGTAGCACTATTAACTGGCATATCAGGTAAGTGACGATTGAAAATCATGGAACATTATACTAATACATAAGTTGAAAACAAACACATTAAACGCTCATCTTATACATAATGTTATTTAAAAATAGAGTTAAAAAGTTCATTATTAGTCGGTTCATTCAAATACTCGGCCATATAACTCAATGTTTTCGCTATTGACTTTATTTCTAAGTTGATTTACTTCACATTTTCCCATAAGAACTATGATAAGTTCAATTCATCTTGTATTGATTATTTAAATCTTCCCATTAATATTTAAGACTGCAATTGATCAGTGGCTATCAGGACTCAGTAGCTAAGTAGATAACACGACGGCATTTGAAGTGAACGGCACTGGGTTCGAATCCCGAACATAAGGCAATATCGGGGCAATCCTCACAGGATGCACATATGCCAATAACAGACTAACCAATTGCAGTTCTAAACACCAGTGTGAAGATTCAAGCAAACAATACAAAATGAATACAAACTTCACTAAATTACACAAGCTAGTTGTTATGTGGACTCAGTAGCTAAATAGATATCGTGATGGCGTTTGAAGGAAGCGCTACTGTATTCGAGTCCAGGAGTGAGCAACAACTCTGGGATGCAGGTATATCCAGCTGACGAATCCAAAATAGGACGAAACGCGCGTCCTGGATTCCACGACTAGCCACTATCCATCTTTGCTTATAATGTTAGATAAGTTCATCATGAAGTAAATTGAATAATCCAATTATGATTGTTATTTACTAAAGTGAATTGTGAAACCAATTCATAGTAACAAACTATTTTTAAAATAAATAAATAACTTTGTGAATATGATAATATAACATGAATGAACTTTTTTTTATTCTTATCATACTTCATATCTTTCGGATAAAATATTTAATTAAATTGAATAATAAACACTTTGGGTTTTATTTGATCTATTTTCTAGTTTGATTAGTCATTTAAATTCATTTTAATATTTACACATTATATCATTATTATCTGAAGAGGGTTTTGTAGAGATTTTAGTGATTTTAGTAGTTGAATTCATGAGTCGATTGAAGCTAGATCACTGTGGAAAACCGTTTCGTCTTAGTATGAGACTACTCGACAATGCGCATCTACGACCTCACCTTGCTCAATTGGTTGATGTTAGATATTAAGACCGTTGGATACCGGCTCAGTGATCTAGAGATTAAGCGTTTGCGTGCGAAACCAATAGGTCCTGGGTTTGAATCCCACCAGACGGGATCGTCAGTCAGTCAGCTTTAACCTAGAATCAGGCACATATATGCATCATCCTAAGTTGCCACACCGCATTATCACAAGATGAACACCGAATTCATAGAAGTAGTTACTTCAATAGTAGTAATATATAAAAGAAAGATTGCACAAAAGGATATAGTACATGAAGAAAGAATTAGTTGGTAGAAAGAAAAATATGAAACAATTTTAATCTCACAGTTTAAGGGATGACAGAAAGTGTATACACCTATGTTATTGTGATTGATTCTGAGCCACATCACCAAGAGTCTTCAACTATTGGTTACGACCCCAACCAAGTAGTATGCACCTACCAACATGGCTCAGGTCAGAAGTTTGTGACTTTACAGACTGATGCCACGTTTTGTTTTGGCCGACCCTAACTTTCTTCTAACCATCCCCAACACTATTCATCATTGCTCGTCGTGGTAATCGATGTTCAAGTATACGTAACACGTGGCCCAACCATTTCAGTCGATGAAGATTCACAACTGCATCATCATTCCCTAATACCCTGCATCTAACCTCACTATTACTTACCCGGAATTCCCAGTAGATGCCAGAAATATTTCTAAACCATCTGTGGTCAAATACTAGTATCTTCTATTCTTAATGGCCACATTTGGCAGCCGTAAAGTAGAACAGAACGAACTTCTGCACAGTATATTCGCCCCTTAATTGATAGACGGATATCTCACCTTCACCATAGGTGATGTAACTTGACAAAAGTCAAACGAGCTTTCTGAATCAGGATTGCAAGTTGTCAAATTCTAGGACAAAACGGCCGTCCGTTACTTCCATGTTGTCTAGATTTGATTGATCCATGAATTCAACTATTATATAATTATCAGATGGAGTCTTGTGGAGATTTTATTAATTTAAATAGTTGAGATCATAAGTCAATTAAAGCTAGACCACCATGGACAACCTGAAAACACTGGATGGCCGTTCCGTCACTAGTGACTGACTTCAAGAGGCATTTCCTGGAGTTCTAGTAAGAAGCAGTGATCAGTGGAGTTTAACTAGGTCTGTTGTGAGATATCAACTCACTGATGACAATGGTTTACGGTGGTGCAATTTCATGGATTGTTTGAAATTATACATTAACACCGTTGCATGCTAGCCGGCTCATTGTTCTAGAAGTTAAGCGCTCGCGTGAGGAACTGATAGATGCCGGGTTCTAATCTCGCTGGGGACGGGATCGTGTATGCTCATTGCTGAGAAATCCCATACTAGGACGAAATGGCCGTCCAGTGCTTTCAGGTTTTCCATGGTTGTCTATCTTCAATCGACCCATGATTTCAACTATTGATATTATATAATTGTTTTAAATTTCTATTCATTTTATCAATCATATAAGCCAAACAAAAATATATATAAACTGTAGAATATACTTTATTTATTAAAATGAACAGTTTAATATAATGTATATCATAAAATTTTCTTATTTTTTTTTTGCCGGAGAGGGGGAGGGGAAAGAAATAAATATTTTTATTATTCACAACGGAAATTTATGAAGTTATTTATCATTGATAAGATGAAATGTAAAAAAAATATTAAATCAATATAGAAATTCTTTTTTCTTTTCTTCTTAAAAAAAAACATTGGGTTGATAATCTGTATTTGGATGATTAAAAAAAAAATTTTTTTTTTGTGTGTGTGTATCTTCTTTATCAATTGTCCATATCTATTCAGAACCTGATGGATTATTTACAGATGGCAATTGTGATTCATTTTTATTCGAACTGAAATAAACAAATAAACAAACAGAAATAAAAAGAGAACGGAATTTAAACTGAATGGCAACAACAACAACAACAAGAAGTTAAATAATGAATAGTAAATGAAAAAAAGAATTTTACATGTTTATATTCTTTGTTGACTATTCTGCGACTTATTTGAATATCTGAGCTACCTGTTTCTTGTCATTTAGATATTTTGATAAGTTATCTGTTTTCTTGTTTGTTTTAATACATCATTATATCTATATGTCGTATAAGTTATTCAAATGCGTTTGTGAAAAGTTGACGACATTTCGTTGTAAAAGTTAGTAGAGAATACAATCAGAGACAATATGGTTGCTGGTATCATACATCGAAAAGAATTTACATTATTCAAATGTTGATTTCTGAACTGCTAACATCTAATTCAATATTTATCGCAAGGGTCGATCAAGAAATAAGAAACGGAAACGCGTTAAAGTATTTTGTACTAAAAATTCTATATTGTACCAGAAATATAACGTTGAATAAAGTCAATAATAATAATAGTTTTAGTAGCCCAAGATCTCACTCCATTAATATCGTATGATTGATTGTTATTGAAATATACTTATTGTATATAATTATCAACTTAAATCGCGTTAGTGGAAAACGGAATTAAATAAGTCAAATAGGAGAATGGGTTGTGAACATGTATATTTTGCACAATCGTTAGTTGGAATGAGAAGCAAAACAAAATGACGCGCGATGAAGAAGGCGAGTGAGCCAACTCTATTTAATCAAGCGTAAATCGATATTTATAATCAAATAAAAATAAGCAACATACATGTGATGAATAAGATAAGAAATGTACAAACATATGCTTATAAAAACAGTCAATTTTAACAAGTGAATAATTAACAAGGTCAAAATATGACTCCAGAGGAATGAATAAATTGGCTTGTCCGGAAGCTAGGATAAGCTAATGTGGACTTAGCATAGCAACCAACACTACATCGTGGCATTTGATCACTCTAAACTCCGGTGAGTTTGTTCTTAAATTTTATTAAGTGAATCATATCAACTATACATTCTGATGAATAAATGTATTATGTGTATTTTAAAGTTTATGTGAAGGCAGTTAATAATCAGTGATAATGTTAATATGTGTATTGAGAAGGACCTGACACATATAAAAATGACCATCACTCAGTAATCAATCAATTGTACATACATCTCAGTCCTACTGGGGGTGAGTTGTAGCCCGGATAGCCCAATGATAACGCTTTTGACTGTGAAGCTGGATTTCACTGGATCAAATCTGTCAGGGAGTACCGATTTCCTTAAAATTACAGGTACACCTTGATGACGATTTCCAAGTAGCACGAGACCTAGGTTTAGGGTTTACTATTAACTACTTCTAACCACTATTTTATTCTATAGTTACGTTTTATATTTGCTGATAGATGTTATTTATCAGTCGAATTTAATTTACTGATATACTATGTCATCCAGCTTAGTGGTTGTTTTGCCCTCATTAGTTTAAAGTAACTTGACTTGAGTTCAGTAGATAGTAAACTTGTATAAGGAAGAATTTTCAAAATCTACAAAAATCCCAGTATGTAATATACAAGATTAATACTTTAGCATAATTATTATTGTTTTGAATTTTCTAGACTATATTTAAATAGGTTAGGATTTTGTTTTTATTTCAAATGTCATTGTTAATGAAACATTAAAATATTGGCGGTAATGTCAATTTAATAATTGGTTACTCTCTTTTTATATTGTTTTCTAATACAATTTAGTTCACCAATCATACTTTTTTTTAATGTACCTTGTCAATACAATGTCTCTTTTTAAAAATGATGTTACAATAATAAAGATTTGTAGCACAGAAGGATGATTTTGATGGAGTTTTGTTCTTTGAACTGGATGGTTTGGTCGTGGAGCTTTCATCGTTCTTCTGAAGCTCCATAACCAAACCATCCAGTTCAATGAACAAAATTCCATCAAAAAGTTTAAATCTTTTTATGTAAAATAAAAATATTACTTCCTTTCGCTTATATGACAAATTTTATATGATAACTTTAGTGAATTAAAAGATACATTTAATTTGTAATTAATAATTTGTTTATTTTAATAGGAATAATTGTTTAAAGTCTCTTCTTGGTAAGGTCAATTCTATAAACATTATATCTACCAAAAAATAATTATTCACTAAACTGATGTTTCATTGTGAATAGAGTAATAATGATAATCAGTATAAGGGTTGTGGAGATTATTAAGTTTTCGATTGAGATCATGAACCGATTGATGTTAGATCACCGTTGGAAACCTGCAAGCAGTGAATGGTCGTTTCATCCTATTGTTGGACTCCTTAGCAGTGCATATTCACGATCCCGCTCTCGGGATTCAAACCCGGGACCTTCAGTGACTAGCTTCGTGAGAGAATTCTCGGAGTTCTGGTGAGAAGTAGTAACCAGTGCAGCTAATCCGTGTCGGGTAGAGACAGGTGTCTACCTCAGTACAATGGAAGATGGTCACGCAATTCCGTGGATTGTTTGATGTTAGACACTATTGATTAAACGTTCGCGCGCGAGACTGAAGGCCCTGGGTTCGAATCCCTTGAGCGGGATCGTGGATGTGCACTGCTGGGGAGTCCCACAAAAGAAGGAAACGGCCGTCCAGTGCTTCCAGGTTTTCAATAGTAGTCTAACATTAATCGGTCCATAACCTCAATCAAAATAATAATAATATTAATAGTAACAATAATAATAATAACAGCTTTTAGTATGGTTAAAGAATCATAGAAACAATCCTTGGTTATTCAAATATCTTAGGATATAATTATTAATGAGTATCCATTCAAAAAAATCATGAATGTAAATCAAGTAACTTTGTTACTAACACTTCCTAACGTAAAGTTGGTTGTGTGCTAACTTACTGATAGTGTAGTGGCTTTTTCGTAATAAAAATAAAAAAAATGAACCACTCCTGTTGGACAAATAAATCCACATATCCGACATTCAATTTCAGTCAGTTAGTGATATTGTACAAGTTCATTTATTCGATACTTTTCAATAAGATAATGTAAAAAAGAAAATAACCCTGAATATTAAACATGAATTATCTGAACCAGTCGAAAGTAACTTTAGTCTACAGTGAGTTGTCAATTAGTTTGTCTACTCAATAAATGAAAACAGAACATTTGATTCTTTAACTTTTCTTAATACAGAAATGAATAATGAAATATTTTCTTCTATACAAACACGTAAATTCAGTGATTCATTTACTGATATAGTAATAATAATGACAATATTCTAAGCAGTTCAGCTGAAAAGTGGAACACGACTACAACCGTTATCAAAAAGGTACAAGTATTTGTAAATAGTTGTCTACGCAAGATACTCGACATCATTTGGACGGATACCATTAGCAACAGCCTTCTATGGGAGAGGACAAACCGGTTTTCAGCTACAGAGGAAATTAGTAAAACATGTTGGAAGTGGATAGGACATATATTGAGGAAATCACCAAACTGCATCACAAGACAAGTCCTAACTTGGGATCCTGAAGAAAAACGGAAAAGAGAAAGGTCGAAGAACACACTGCATTGGGAATTGGAAGCAGACATCCGAAGGTTGAATAGCAATTTGAAAAAATCTCAAAAGGATCCCTCAGGATAGGGTTGGATGGAGAGTGCTGGTGGGCGGTCTATGCTCCTCCACGAGGAGTAACAGACGTAAGTAATTAAGCATACATATACATAAAATTTTGTTCAGTAATAAGATGACGACTTATGACTTATCAGCTTCATTTAAATTGTTGAAAATCAATGAGTAATTTAATTATTACGATGATATTATTATTTGATAACGTTAATGAGAAGAGATTGACCTTATGAGAATCAGGGTTTAGTTTGTTATTGAAATAACTTCAGACTATAATGAGTAGTTATTCAGTTAAAAAAAGAACACATTTTAATGAGATGGTGGAGAAGATTTGTACCTCAGGTGGATGATTTCGATGAAGTTTTGTTCTCTGTGCTAAAATGGTTTGGTCATAGAGCCCTCATCGTTCTTCTGGACGACATCATCAGCACAAACTTTAGATATAAGTGAAGCGTTTCAAGTAGTTCCTCGGCTTTCTTGATGTATTCTTCTTTGTCCATAACCACTGTGGTGCATCCTTTGTCTGCTGGAACTATGACAATATCTTTTCTAGTTCTGAATTCCTTTAAAGCGTTTTGTCCTTGTGAGGTCAGTTGGTTGTTGTCCTTCATCCACTGAGTTAGCGTTTCACTTCTATCTGAAATTTGTGCTGAGGATGTTGTTCAGAAGAACGATGGAATCTCCACGACCAAACCATCCAGCTCAGAGAACAAAACTCCATCAAAAACACATGTTAATCAATAACGTGAATAATTTTAAACTTTATTGAATGAATAATTGAAATGTCATAGGTTATATTTAAGTTGATAAGTTAAAAAATAATAATAAATCAGAACTAGTCACTATGGGACATAGTTTACAAACAAAAAATGTTTTACAATTTTGGATAGTATGATTTTATTCCTATCATTCTTTAAACACTTATTCGTTGTTGAACGTTTTCAGGTGGACGAAGTGTTGCAGTTTCGGAAGTCAGGGTTCCTGTTGGTTTTTTTTTAAGTTTAGGATTGGAAATTAGCTTTCAAAGGAGTAAATATCTTAAAGAAATTTACCGGAATTTTGAAAGCACTATACAAATTAATCTCCGTTTATATAGTGACTAATAATGACCACTCAACCTTGTTTAAAATTATCAATTAAGTGATTCCGTTAAACTTGATCAGTGATGATATTTTTGAAATGGTTTTGATCTAGGTACATTGTGAAAGTGATATTCTATGATGTGAAGAAATATTTCTGATCTGGATCATATAGATTATTTCATCTGAATGTATCAGAAAAACAAAGGATTTTCAAATATTTTTATATAATCAGGTGAATGAAATTCATAGGCAAAGGAGATTCAAACTAATTTATAGGATTAAACGAAATCTACATTCATTCTATTGCTTGAAGATAAATCACTAGGAAAAACGGAAAAATAGCTTATTCTAATGTGTGTGAAGGTGCTTTTAGTGTGTAAAAATGGTTGAAATTCACATACTTAAATGTAGAACAACATATATCAACCTGGGACCACTTTTGTACTACTGTGAAGCAAGTTTGTATGTTAATAGTAAAGTTCACAAAATCTTAATGTAAAATCATCTCAAAAACTGATATTAACTAACTGTTTAGTGCTTAGTTATCACTAATTTGCTGTCTTAATAGCTCCATTGGGCGGTTAGATCATGTAAAGAATATCTAGTATCTTAAATTTAAAATGCAAAAAATAATAATACTATAGTCTGAATGCATATCAGTTTTCTTACAAAATATCTACTCACTTTATTTCAGAACATATTTCTACATGTTGAAACGGTTCTTCATCAGATCCTTCATATGCATATTCTAAAGGTGATTCATTATTTTTACAATTATCTTCATTATTATCATCATCATTTTCAGCGGCTTCTATACGGGACTTGAGTAAATCACCAATATCTGCTCTACTTGTTGACTGCTCATCCATTTTTATTTGCATCTCTTCATGTATACATTGTAATGGTTCTTCTTTAATATGCATACCTGTAAATGAGGTTTTTTTCAGTAATTATCTCTTGAAACTATTATCAATCTATATCGTGAGTTGTAAATGTCTTAATTTTAACTACATAAAACATTAGTAATAATTGCCGTTTATACAAAATTATTTCATATTCTCTTTATCGTTGTATTATAAGGTAAGGTTACCGTAACAAAAAGAGATGGTTATCTTATTTGCTGTTTAAGAATTTATGAATTCATCAGTATAGGGTTGTGGTGATCATTAAGTGTTTGATTGAGATCATGAACTAATTTAATGTTAGACCACCACAACTCTATACTGATAATTACAATGTGCTCATTAGTGACTAGCTTTGTGAGAGAATTCTTAGAATTCTAGAGAGAAGCCGTGACCAGTGGAGCTAATCCATGTCAGGTAGAGACAGGTACAATGGGAGATGGACGCTCAATTTCGTGGATTGGTTAATGTTAGACATTAACACCGTTGGATGTTGATTCAGTGGTCTAGATTTTAAGTGTTCGCGCGCGAGACCGAACACCCTGGGTCTGAGTCGTTTGGGTGTGGGATCATGGATGCGCACTGTTAAGGAATCTCACAATAGAACGAAACGGCCGTTCAGTGCTTCTACGTTTTTAATGATGGTCTAACATCAATCGGTTCATGATCTCAATAAAAAAAGGAAAGAAATAATTTGACTGATAGTTTGTAGTCGATATATATATATATATATATATATATATATATATATATATATATATATATATATAAAGCTTTATGTAGAGACCAATGTTTTTGAGATTGTGAAGATTTGTACCTCAGGTGGATAATTTTGATGACTTCTACCTAAAGTTTGTGCCGATGATGTCGTTCAGAAGAACGATGAAATCTCCACGACCAAACCATCCAGCTCAGAGAATAAAACTCCATCAAAATCAATGTTTTTAAAAGCAATATCTCAATGATAACAAAATTAAAGTATATTTTTACTCTACGAGAATATATAAACTTGTGATGTTTTAATATGAACAGATTTCATTCTCATAATTGTTAGGTTAGAATCAACTTTTCACTGAATTAAATAAACACAACATTGACTTTGTATTAGTGAAAATTAAAGTCTAGACAACCTTGAATATAAAGTTGTTTTTTTTTTCTTTTCTTTCAATTAGCCGTTAGAAAATGATAGTTATTATTATCATTTCACATTCCTGAGCACTATATGGATCATTTAACCGAAGCGGATACTAACAATTACGTAAGATTTTATTGAAAACTCTTTCATTCATTCTACTAAATTCATTCATATAGGATGATATATATTTAAAATGAGAAAATTTCACCAATCTAACAATCCATTGTACACTGTCATATTGAAAATCTCAGATTATTGATTTGTTGCACACTAACAGATGTAAAATATTTCTTTAATACCGAGAGATTTCATCTGTTGGATAGTAGTATTCACGGGAGATCAATGGTTCTAGGTTCGAATCTCACGTGTGGAATACTGAGTATTCACTACTGAGGAGTTCTATGCTAGAACAAAACGTCTATCCAGTTCTTCCAGGTTTTCAATTTTGGTTTAACATTGATTAGTTCATAATTTTAATGAAATTCAATCATCTCCATAAGTCTCACATCAACTCGGCGCCCGAATACTGTGAAACTAAAGTTCTTATTTAACGATATCAACGTAGAAATTATTCTGTTTGGTTATTTGAATTCGTTCTGATTGCCTTGCTTGTGATTAATTGTCTTTGGAAGTTTCTTCATCTCCATTTGTTCTTGTATTCCAGTTGGCCATCTTTTTCTGTTGACTTCTGGACATTCATTTGACTGACCTCATCCATATCGTGTTTATAGATTGAGTCTATCTCTATTTGATTTAAATACTGTTCCTCTAGAATTTCTCTGGCCTGCTTAAACTTTAACCAACTTGAACTGTGATATTTCCCCAATCGAATTTATGCAGATGGTTGTTCATGTACATTGATATCAGTGATAAAATATAATGTCGCTTTTCTGCTGGTTTATTTTCATATATAGGTAGGTATGAAGTGCGTCTAGTTTAATTTTATTGATAGTTTGTACTGTTGTGTCGATCATATGATTTAAAATGGAGATAAATTACTTTCAAATAGTTTCAATACCTTTATAATGCTTTTTAAGATATTTGTAGATGAATTAGTTACTCATCAACTCAAAGAAACAATAAGGTTAGATGGTGGTTGGAGGTAGTCGACAGGATACCCTGGACCCGGGTTTCGTGCTACTTGGCACTCGTCAGCAAGGTGTACCTGTAATCTTTGAGGGAATTGGTGCTCCCTGACGGATTCTGTCCCGTGTCACCCAGCTTCACAGTCAGAGACATTACCACTGAGCTATTCGGGCCGCGACTGACCTCCTCTAGGACTGAGATGTAATCTTACAATAGTGCCTGCACTGTCGAGTCACCTAAACTGGTGGCCACATTGCAACATGATCGATAGCATTCGATCTGCACTAATAATAAGGACTAGACACGCATGACATTGGTCACCACCCAGTGATCAATCAGTTGTGAAACAATAAAAGTTTAGCAATCAAACTTGCTAGTTCATAGAACACAGTACCACCAATGGTATCTATCTGATTTCTACATCGTCTACATATATCAGCATGCTTACTGTATTTATTAAGTTTGAAAATATATGTTCAATTTAACTTTTCAATATTTAAGAAGATCAGTAACAGATCATTCACTAATGTTAAAATTCAACACTGAATGTTTATTAACATTGAATTATTGTACTTTTCAATCTTAACTGGATAACGTTACTGATCGCAGTTGGCCTTGTGTCTGTGATGGATCTTTCAAATATCTGCCCCATCAGTTTGTTGGTAATTGATTTACCTATCCCGATGATAACGGATAACGAGCAATCAGGGTTCGATTCCGTTGCTTGTTCATTGTTTTGTTTACGATCAGGACGTGTTCAGCTCAGTTCAGTGGCTATGCAGCCTTTCAGCCGTGTCTGTGTTAAACAAGTGCTGGTCGCTTGACAAGTTTGTCTTCTTAATCTGTCGGTATGATTCCGGATGTCATTAAACGGATGTCGGGAGTCAAAAGCATGTTTACTTTAAACAAATTTAAGTTCCCAAAGCAAGCCTGTGCACCTGAAAATTCTTGCATGGAATAATGAGATAAGACTTCAATTCTATTTTGTTGGTTTTCACATCTGAAGTAATGGTTAAGACGAACCGACAGATACACTTTATAAGGTAGTGTTAAAGGTGAAAATCTAGGATCTCTGCCAGACAAACTACAGCTAAAGCATATGACAAGAATATTTTGATTGATCAAGAGCAAAAATCAGAGTTTCGAAGATGATCTAATATGATCTCATATGAAATATCAATACATTTATAAATGTATTTATTATTACGAAACTACTGATTATCTACAGAATTAGTAGTAAAATAAAATATGTATTTATGATTTTAACTGAATTTAAGAAAAAATAAAAAGGAAAAGAAAAAAAAGAGAAAAGCAAAACGTCTTATCTTTTATCATTCAAATTAAAATTGTAAAAATCTAAAATCTTTTCGGTAATTCAATTGTATACTTAAATCATGTGAATTATTCTTCTATTATTTACATGTTAATTACGTTATATTGAGTTATCATTATACTTATAATGAAAGGGGTATAATAAAATGTCATGTGAAATGTATGGGAATAGTTTGTTTTGTTTAAATAATAATAAATACATTTTTTAAACTGACGTTTTGACTTGAGTCACTATCTTAACTGAATTTTAGTGATTTGTTTTTTGTTTTTGTTTTGTGACAGTTAAAAGTTTCTTGAGTTGAAATATTTCTATGATATGATTGAAATTCTTTAGTTAATAATAATTTATAATGATAGAAGAGTATAAATACAATTTAGTAATAATATATTTCAATAGTTGAAATCATGAGTCAATTGAAGCTAGATCAGCATGGAAGACCTGGAAACATTGAACGGCCATTTCGTCCTAGTATGGGACTCTTCAGCAATGCGCATCTATGATCCCGCTTGCAGAATTCGAACCAAGGACCTATCAGTCTCGCATGTGAACGCTTAACCATTAAACCACTGAGTTGGCCGGAATCTAACGGTATTAATGTATAACTTCAACCAATCCACGAAATTGCGCCACAGTGGATGCGCACTACTGAAGAGTCTCACAATATGACGAAACAGCAGTCCAGTGCTTCCAGGTTTTCCATACTGATCTAGCTTAAAATGATTTATGATTTCAACTATTGAAATTTCTAAAGTCTTTACAAAACCCTTTCTGATAATAATATATTCTTTCAATCAGAAAAACAGTCATGAACTGATCAAAGTTAGACAACTATTGAGAACTTAGAAATAATGATCAATTGATTTGTATTAATATGAAACACTTTAGAATTTCATACTCATGACTCTGGAATCAGTTATTGGAACCACAAGTTTTGGTCGCGCGAGTCAACGTTCAACCTTTAGATCTTTGAATTGTAATCTAATCATGTACAAGTTTTACTTCAATTAATCTATGATATTGAGTGACAAACTTCGTTTCATAATTTTAATATAGTTTAATAATGGTGGAGAAGATTTGTAGCTCAGGTGGATGATTTTGATGGAGTTTTGTTCTCTGAGCTGGATGGTTTGGTCGTGGAGCTTTCATCGTTCTTCTGAACGACATCATCAGCACAAACTTCAGATAGAAGTGAAGTGTTCGAATTTCTCCATATGTGTTTCACAGCTTGTTCTGTGCACCTCGATGTTGATTGGTTCTTATTGACCTTAAATTTGTCATTGTTTACTTTTTTGTTTTTATTTTGTCCCCTATTGGTTTGATTCTTGTTCCTATATTCGTGCATAAGTTTCCTGATTGGTTGATAAATCGGATCAATTTCAATATGTTTGTTGATTGCTGATTGACCTGAGTGCCAAGCTTCTAAGAATTCTCTTGTGTTTTTAGAGTTTCCTCTGTCCAAGATTTCCACATTTTTCCAATCGAATGTGTGTCCACAGTTGTCCACGTGTATTGATATAAGTGAGGAGATATCATGCCGTTTGACTGCTAATTGATGTTCATGTAGGCGCAGGTGAAGGGGGCGTCCGCTTTGTCCGATGTAGTGTTTGTCGCAGTTGACACAATTTATTTTGTAGATGATGTTTGATTTATCTTCTTTTGTTATTTTATCCTTTGGTTTGCATAGAATTGACTGTAGTGATTTTGTCGGTTTGTGTGCCACACCTATTCCGAAGGTTTTTAGCAGTCTTGTTGCGGTCTCTGATATGCCATTTATGTATGGTAGTGTGATCCGTTTGTCAATTTCTGTGCTTGATTTGTGTTCTGATGCTGCATGTGGTTGGTATTTTTTGATGAAGTTGATTGGGTAGCCATTCTTTTGAAATACGTCCTTCAGGTATTTCTCTTCCTTTCTTCGTGCTGCCAGTGTGCTGCAGTGTGTCCTCGCCCTTAGAACTAGAAAAGATATTGTCATAGTTCCAGCGGACAAAGGACGCACAACAGTAATTATGGACAAGGAGGAATACTTCAAAAAAGCCGAACAACTACTTGAAGATAAGAACACATACAAACTGATAGATATAAATCCTGTCAAGAAATTGGACAACAGAATCTCAAAGACATTAAACAAGCTAGTCAAAGCAGGAGAAATAACAAAACAAGATCAATGGAGAATGAAATCCAATGGACCAGTACTCCCTCGATTCTACGGCAGACCGAAAATACACAAACCAAACATTCCACTACGTCCAATTGTAGCACTGCCCGGAACGCCAACATACAATTTATCAAAAGAAATTTCACGAATACTGAAACATTTAGTCGATTCATCCAACCACTCTATCAAATCTCCTACACAATTCCTGCGCCAAATTAAGGACATTCAAATCAACCACGACGAACTGATGATATCCTTTGATGTAACAACATTATTCACCTCAATTGAACCAAAGTTAGCGAAAGAAACTATTTCCCTTCTCCTCGCCAACGACACGAATCTCACAAAGTACACAAAGCTTCAAAGTAAAAGTCTACTAGAACTCATCGATTTATGCCTAACGACGTATTTTCAATTCAACAACAAAATCTACGAACAAACGAAAGGGACACCAATGGGGTCACCAATATCAGGAGTGATCGCAGAAGCAGTGATGCAAAGACTAGAAGCCGCAATACTACCTGTGATCAAACCAAAAATCTGGATTCGCTATGTAGATGACACATTCGTCATCGTCAAAAAGAATGAGCTAGAAAACACTTACAAACTGATCAACAACGTCTTCGATGACATCAAGTTCACAATGGAACAGGAGACAAACAACAAACTACCATTCTTGGATATATTAATCACTAGAACTAATACAGGAAAACTAGAAACTCAAGTATATAGGAAACCGACCCACACAGATCAAATTCTTAATTACAATAGCAACAACCCAAGAGCACATAAAATCAACTGCGTACAAACTTTGTTCAAGAGGGCGAGGACACACTGCAGCACACTGGCAGCACGAAGAAAGGAAGAGAAATACCTGAAGGACGTATTTCAAAAGAATGGCTACCCAATCAACTTCATCAAAAAATACCAACCACATGCAGCATCAGAACACAAATCAAGCACAGAAATTGACAAACGGATCACACTACCATACATAAATGGCATATCAGAGACCGCAACAAGACTGCTAAAAACCTTCGGAATAGGTGTGGCACACAAACCGACAAAATCACTACAGTCAATTCTATGCAAACCAAAGGATAAAATAACAAAAGAAGATAAATCAAACATCATCTACAAAATAAATTGTGTCAACTGCGACAAACACTACATCGGACAAAGCGGACGCCCCCTTCACCTGCGCCTACATGAACATCAATTAGCAGTCAAACGGCATGATATCTCCTCACTTATATCAATACACGTGGACAACTGTGGACACACATTCGATTGGAAAAATGTGGAAATCTTGGACAGAGGAAACTCTAAAAACACAAGAGAATTCTTAGAAGCTTGGCACTCAGGTCAATCAGCAATCAACAAACATATTGAAATTGATCCGATTTATCAACCAATCAGGAAACTTATGCACGAATATAGGAACAAGAATCAAACCAATAGGGGACAAAATAAAAACAAAAAAGTAAACAATGACAAATTTAAGGTCAATAAGAACCAATCAACATCGAGGTGCACAGAACAAGCTGTGAAACACATATGGAGAAATTCGAACACTTCACTTCTATCTGAAGTTTGTGCTGATGATGTCGTTCAGAAGAACGATGAAAGCTCCACGACCAAACCATCCAGCTCAGAGAACAAAACTCCATCAAAATAGTTTAATAATCTCCACAATCCCATATTGGATAAGTATTCACATTTTTTAGAATGTTGGTTTTATGAAAATATGACTGATTTACAGCGATGGGTAATCAACCGATTGTCAATATTTTTGCCTTAAATGAAATCGGTTATTAGCATTTCAAAGAGCTGATTAGGAAAGTCACAGCTTGTATAGCCGAGTTTCAGTCCATAGGGGAGCATCAGTTCTATCAACATTACAGATACACCTTTCTGACTAGTACCAAATAGCGGGGAACATAAGTCTACGGTGAAAAGTTCACTACCTCCAACCTTTTGACGTTTTATATGTACAACAAATTTGTAAGAATAAAATTATCAATTTTCTAACTGTCACATTGCATAATCAAGCAACAAATATCCAATAAAAATCCCATCTTACAATATAAAAATACTATTAATAAATGTAACTTACTATGTGGACTAGCTAAATAAAAATGTGTATCGATTGGAGGCAATTGTGGGAAAGTTTGAGAGTTTTTCCTTTGGCCACAAAGGATGTGATGCGACACTAAACAGAGGATGACTGTAAGTTTTAAGAAATGAAATTTATAAAAACACATGAATAAATGACATATTGGATGACATACATTGAATAGAAGTTTAACAAATATAAAATAATTTCACTCATCTTTTTGTATTATTCGTTTGAATCGTCCCATTGATGTTTGGGACTGCAATTTATCAGTCTCTTGTTGGCATATGTGAATCCTATACAAAATGCTTCAACATTACTAAGTCACAAAAATTATAAGCAAAAACGAATGGTGGCTAGCTTTGGAATCCAGGATACGCGTTTTATCATATCTTGTATTCGTCAGCTGGATGTACCTGCATCTCAGAAATGATCATCACTTTGGGACTCGAAGCCAGTATCGTTCGCTTCAAACGCCATCATGTTATTCATTCAGTTACTGAGTCTTGATAACCACCGATAAATTGCAGTTCTAAACGCCGATGGAAAGATTCACACTACCAAGACAAAAAGTGAGTTAAAACTAAACCCCGTTGCACATGCAAGTAGCTATCAGGACTCAGTAGCTAAGTGGATAACCAGGTGCCGTTTAAAGCCAGCGGTACTGCGTTCGAGTTCTGGAGTGAACCTCAACTCCGGGGTGCAGACATATCTAATTGACGAGTCTCAGGTAGGATGAAACGCACGTTCTGGATTCCTCTGCTAGCCACCATCCATCTCAGCTTATAAAATAATATCCTTCATGAAGCAGACCATACTCACTTTCATAAAACAAAATTTTTACACACTGAATCGGTACATAATTCAAAGTTTAATACTGAACGTTTGCAATAGTAGATACAGTACTCTAGTAACAAGTGAATTTGACTTTCAGAAGTAAATGTTTAATAAGCATGTGAGATTCGTGGACATTGTCAAAAATTCACAGCTTGGATCACAAAATAATATAACGTAAAAAACCATTGGAAACGTAGCAGCATTCAAAGACCATTTTGTACTTGTGTGTGTGCATATTCACGATCCCGGTTCAATAAATTAAGCCTATGTCCTTCATCTTGAGTGCGAACTATTAATCTCTAAACCATTCAAGCAGAATCCAATGGTGTTGATGTCCGACTTTAAACAATTCATAATATTGTGCAACTTTTATCTTTTTCCTGTAGTGGATAACTCTTACATCCAACTTGAATTGAATTCTACTGGTCACAGCTTCTTTCTAGAATTCTAGAAGTTGCATCGTGGAGTTTTTGTATAGTAAGACCTATTAATACATGGTTGTGAAGGTTGTTAACATTTGGCAGGTTTAATCATGAATTAACTTTAATTTCAATTCATTCAAGTGGTTTTTGTTATCAATAGTAACTTTTGAGAACCATTTATGGACAAATACGATGAATATATTTTCATTGTATAATAGTTAAGTAGCTAAACTATGCATATTCATGTTCCTCCTATTATAAGCTTTATTTTAACTTATACGATTTATCATTCTTGAGTTATACCCAATCTATCAATTACAGTCTATTACATTCACAGCCACTTATGGCTAAATCTTGTACAGATGTTGTTTCCTATTTTATGGTGTGATGTGGTTTGTTTGGTTTGTATATAAACCCAGTATGTTTGAAATAAATGAAGTTAATGTTCCGGACTCAACAGGCAAGGTTAGAGAAGAAGAAGAATAACCGATAAGGATTCTAGACTGCTCATAAGAGTTTACGCGTCATTGGTTTAATCGATAAATCACTGCTCTCTAATTGGCGGTATCATCACGTTATACATTAACAAGGACACAGAGCACATGTTATAAAAATTTCACAAAGAAACTTTAAAGAATTTTGTTTACCATAATAAAGCTAAAACATATTCTTCATTTTGATCGTCTTATTAATTGATTATCAATAATGTAAAAAGTAATTTTTACGACAAACTGATAGAAAAAATCATTAAAAATCAGGAAACAATGAACAAATATTTCAATTTAACTTGAGATTAGTTATTAGTAAACACCAGTAAGTTTAGATAACTAAATCAGGATCTAATCATTCATATACGTATGCAAATTACAAAGGTATATTATCAGTGTAACATATTCTATTTCAGGTTAAGTAATGAAGACGATAATAGTATTAATAATGATACTGTAGTGAACAGAAGACCAATGGGGACAATCTAATGTAATTAACAACAAATTACAGAATTAGTTAGTAAAATCTAACAACCATATCGTAAATGCTCAATTTGCAAAATGTTAGTGAATTGTCTCCAATGTCTCAGAATTCCTTTATTCTTGCATTTTCATACAAATTGCACTCTTTCTTCATTCTTAATTAAGATCATCATGGAAAACCTGGAAGCACTGGACGGACGTTTCGTCCTATTATGAGACTCCTCAACAGTGCGCATCCAAGACCTCGCCCCCTGCGAGATTCGAACCCAGGACCTACTGGTTTCGCGCGCAAGCACTTAACCACTAGACCACTGAGCCGGCATCCAACGGTGTTAATGTCTAACTTCAACTAATCCACGAAATTGAGCGACACATCCACCATTGTCTTCAGTGAGTTACTATCCCACAACAGACCTGGTTGAACTACACTGCTCACTACTTCTCACTAGAACTCCAGGATATAGCTCTTGAAGCCAGTCACTAGTGAGCATATGTTGATTATTATTAGAAGGGGTTTTGTAGAGATTGTAATAATTTCAATGATTAAGATCATGATTTTAATCATTGAAATTATTACAATCTCTACAAAACCCCTTCATTCTTTATTGTTCAATCTTCTCGTCTCTCTGCTGCCAAACATTCTGTTCAGTACTCACGTCATATACTACTTATGTCCACATAAGTAGCACACACCACAATACTACTATTACTATTACTACTACTACTACTAATAATAATAATAATAACAATATTATTATTATTATTAATAGAAAACTATTAGATATTTTCTTCACAAAAATGTCGAATCTTCTTGACCTAATTTCAACCGAACGGAAGTAATTAATCTGTTTGTTTTAGCGTAATAATATTAATGAATTGAATGAGTAAACGCCTTTGTTTCAGTCAGTCAGTCAGATAAAACTGCCGAGCAGTATACTCGTCCCTTAATTGATAGACGAATATCTCGTCTTTGTTTAATCTTATTGATATGAAGTTTTTTTTTATTTAGTTCCAATCATTAATGTAACTTAAAACTATTATAAATTTTCAACTAGATAAGTAATAGGTAGTTGACTCGATAGTCATAAATAAATAAAAAAGATTAGTTCAGTGTAGAGTTCTCTTTTCGGTGAATTCAGTTTCATAGCTGTACAATCGCAACTATACATATAATTATTTTACAGGATGATAATAATACGGATAATAAACTTCTGTTAGACATGGTGGCGGTGAGGTTAGATAAACAAAGGTATTAAAAAAATTTTTAAACAAGGAAAACTTAATAATCGATTGATTGTTAATGGCTTAAATATTCATTGAAAGATAGATAGGGAAATTATCAGTGAGACAGGATGGTTCAGCATGATAAGATAAAATGTTAAAATTGAGATTAAGTGTAGTCAGGAGGATCGTAGAAACCGAGACAAACCAGTTGGGGGTAGAAGACTTAAGGGGAAGATGGAAGGTGAAAAAAGAAAAAAGAAAAAAATTATAAGACATTAATACCATGGTAGAAGAGGCTGTACCAATCGTTTTTGCACACACAATTCTGTTTTCTTCCAGATATATGGCTATTGCTTCAATAATGCAAAGATGACGCAATCTAATTTTTTTTGGAAGACTTCTACATGCCATGTAGATGACTTTGAAAACAGAGACTGTTTTGATTGAGTGACCTGTGTTCCCAGCGTGTTCGATTATTGAACTTCTTATTGAGTTGTTTCTCCCTCTTTCCAGCCATGCAGGATAATGGTCTTGAATTCTTTTGAATAAAGTACGCATCAAATGACCTAAATACTTAGCTCCACAAGAGCAGGTAAATTGGTAAATGCACATTGAGTCGGTCAGATGCAAAAATTTATCTTTAAGATTATTGGTGAACAATGATCGGCTGGAGAACATTATTCGTAGCAACGCCGCGAACGATGGTTCCAGCCAGTAGAGCTTGATTGGTTGAGTACGATAGGCAAGCTCGACAACAACGTCACTGTATCATCAACGGTTGAGATTAAAAAAATACATTCATTCATTCATTGAATGAATCTTAAAATACAACTATTTTTTAAAAAAGACATCCAATTTTTTAATTAATAACATCGATCAATGTTCAAACTAATTTCTAACTAAATATTACTGAAGTTTAAATTCACTTGGTATTGCTTACTTGAATCTTCTCATTGATGTTTAGCACTGCAGATGATCAATCTGTTATTGGCATACGTACAATACACAGAGTATACGCATATGAACATATAGGCTAGGAGTGAACATCAACTCTGAGATGGAGGTTTATCCAGCTGACGAGTCCAAAATAGGACGAAATGCGCGTTCTGGATTCCACTGCTAACCACTATCCATCTTTGCTTATGATTATTGAATATTGTTTTTTATTTACATCAAAAATAAGAACTTTATGATTACTTACGACTATTTACAGCTAAATCAATTACTAAATCATAGGTGTTGTTAACATGAAACCAATGTTGATATTTTTTGGTCATTTTAATAAAATAATATGGAATATTGGAATAAAATGTCATTATCCTACTATTTGGAAGATCTGGAATCATTCACTGATGTTAACATATAAAACTTTACATTTCGTGTATTACTAGTAATGGATTTTGAACTATTTACGTGATGAACTTATTTAGAAACAAAACTGTAATGTCACTGATAATATAATAACAAGTCATCAAAATAATATTGACTAAGATACAAATTACTTAACGAAATGATTGAGTTTATTTGTTTATTAAGCATAAAATAAACACAACAAACTCAAATAAACCAATTTATCATCTAGGCTTTTCTACTTCCGTTAACTTGAGTCATCCCAAAATCAAAACAAAACAAAAACCGGCATGTAATTACCGGTTTTTTTTTTCCAATGGTTTTTAGTTCAATGAACTGAAATTAACTAATTTCAGCTAGGAAATGGTTATTGACATCTCTGTTAAATAAAATTGTATAATAAATGATAATAAAAGAGAATTATAAACAATTGGTCGAAGATAAATGTTAACTAGAAGTTTGCAGAGCCCCCAAATGCCCTGGTACGCCCGAGAGTGGGGAGAGTCCGCTCTCCCTCTCGAAATGCTCTCACATGACCACGTGTATATAGCCTCTGCCAGGGAAATCCACCCCAGTGCTTTCTCGTGGCGGGGGTGTTGTTTACGAAAATAAGAGGACGAAAAGCGAATGTTCGGCGCTTTAACCGGGTTGAAGGACACAGAGAGTCTACTTAAGGGAGTTGAGATACCCTTATTCCAAGCCAATGGTGCACATGGGCTCCAGTATTTTGAGGGAACATATGGCGTACAAACCAATTATTGGTCACCGGTTACCATGTGACTGCATCTCCTTACGATGCTCCACTGCCTTGTGGATCAGACTTTAGGTCAAACGCTCCGGGTATGGTCCCCTAAGGAAACCACCTGCTTCGGTCAGGGCAACCGGACACTATCACAGCCCTCGCACAAATCAAATGAGATTTGTGTGACGCATATGTATCTGGTGCCCCTTGTACCAATATTGATGTGTTCAAATAAATAAATAAGAAGTTTACAGATAGTTTGATCAAACAATATTTCTCATCAGTGTCATTTTAATTAAATGATAACTTAATATATTTTTCATGTTTATGTAATAAATCATTTAATTTTCAACTTATAAATGAATAAATTCATTTGGTATTGTTTTACTTGAATCTTCCTATTGTTATTTAGAACTGTAATTGATCAGTCTCTTATTGACATACGTACATACTGTGAAGATTGAATTGATATTGACTTAAGTTACAAGTATTACATATTGAGATCAATAGTGGTTAGCAGTAGAATTCAGTATGTGTGTTTCATCCTATTTGAGACTCATCAACTGGATGTATCTACATCTCAGATTTAATATTTAAACTCAGCAGTACCGTTCATTTCAAACATCATCATATTATCTTCATAGTTACTTGCTTATAATATGATGTGAAGTATGAATTCATTTGATATAAATAAATAGAATAATCAATTTACATACTATAATAATGAGAAGATTTTTCTTACACAATACTCATCATTACAAAAAAAAACAGAGACAAAAAAAAAAGAAAAGTAAACTCACAAAAAAGAAAAACAATTAATGCACATCCAAATGCAATTAATGGTGTTGCTATTTCACCAGCCATTCATTTAATTAATTATAATTAAATAAATAATTGAATAATGTAATTTATATTGTTAAATTCAATTATTATTTAATTGAATAAACTAATATATCATTGACACAGTTTCATTTATTCACTATAGTGTAGGATTAATACAATGGTTTGTATTTAATTAGTATATTTCTTCTATTAATTTATATCTCACAATTAAGATTTGAACACAATTATTTATTTATTTATTTATTGATTTATTTACATGATAAGGATCATATTAGTATAATAAGAAATTCAACTAAACATTCATATTTATATATGAAATAGTAATGTTACATTATCATAGATACAATCACATAGTGTATGAATTGAAATTGATTGGTGTAAATTATAAGTAGCACATATGAATATAAATGAATTTTTCAAATTGCAATGATGATTGTGTAAAAAGGAAGACAAACACATCTATAATTTTTAATTGAGATCATGAATCGATTGATGTTAAACCATCATTGAAAACTTAGAAGCACTGAATAGTCGTTTTGTCCTATTGTGGGACTCCTCAGTAGTACACATTCACGATCTTGCTCGCGGGACCCGAACCAATGGCCTTCAGTCTCGTGTGCGGACGCTTAGCCTGTAGATCACTGAGCTGGTGGGCATCTAATGGTGTTAATGTCTAACTTTAATCAATCCAGGAAATTGCGCGACCATCTTTTTTTTTTTTTACTGAGGTAGATACCTGTCTCTACCCAACACGGATTAGCTCCACTAGTTTTAATGTTTCTCTCTTTATTTCTTTCCTTTTTCTTTCCTTTTAAGCAAAAATGTAGGATACTTTTTATCATCATTATGCAAAATCATTTAATTTATAAATAGATTTATTGAATTAATGAAAACAATATAAAATAACAAAACAAATAAATAAATAAATGGGGTGAGTCTGTTTGAATAGACCAATATTATTATGGTTTCTTTTATGATTTTCATTGTTTACTCTAATGAGTTCATGTTTATTTATCGGTTATTCATTTTAAAAATAGATTATTGTCTATCGCATTTAAATTGATTATTGATCAATTATTAAATATATTTATTTATATTAAGAAATAATTAATGATTTAATAATTGAATTCATGAGTTAATTAAAGCTAGACCATCATGAAAAACATAAAAGCATTGGACTACTGTTTCATTCTAGTATGGAATTCTTCAACAGTGCACATTCACGATCCCACCTCGCGAGATCCGAACTGTAGGACCTATCGGTCTTGTGCGTGAGCAATTAACCTCTAGACTACTGGGTTATCAGCCAGCATCTCTTGTCTTAATTGAATTACTAACTCACAATAACCCCTCTCTAAAAATAATTAATGATTGTAAAAATTCATTAGTAATTTACTATTATAAAACACATTTTCAGTGTTTCTATGTAGAGTGTGTGAAGTGATATTCATTGTTTCAAGAATTCCATTAAAAATGATAACAAGAGTACTTAAATATTTCGGTTAATCAACATTCTAGATATCATCATTCCACTATATTATTAATTATCTATAAAATATAAATTGCTATCAGAAGGGAATTTTCTGGACGGTGACTCAATTTTGTCGATTCGTTAAAGTTAGACATTAACACTGTTGGATGTCAACTTTTTGGTTTACAGGTTAAGCATTCACGCGTGTGAGACCGATATGTTTTGAGTACGAATCCTGCGAGTGGGATCATGGATGCGTACTGCTGAAGAGTCCCATACTAAGGCGAAAGGGCCGTTCAGGGTTTTCAGGTTTTCCATGGTGTTCTAGCTTCAATTGAATCATAAATTCAAATATAAATTGTTATTGAAATTCAATTTTGAAACACCATGATTGTTCTTTTCAATTATCATTTACTAGCTTGATAAATGGCTGGCTTAGAGATATAGCATTTTAAAAACACAAATTTTGGTTGAATGCAGAAGTCTCATGAAAGTATCTATTGAATTGATAATACGTGTTTTATGTCATGTGTAATAAATGAAATACTTGGTTTCTCTAATTGTGATAAAACGTTCTTTCAAATGTTAGCTGAGTTTAAGCGTTCGATTTCTGACTGCGGAACTGTAAATGCTCACTACTGTGGAATGTCATAATAGGACAAAATAACCGTTCATTATTTCTAGCTTTACATTGGTTGTCTAGCGAATATATCAGTTCGTTATTCAAACTATGAAATTTCTGCTATTTCCGCAAATCCCCTATTTTAATCTTAACAAGTTTTTCTCATCCAAGAAATATTCGTATAGAAAATTGCCTATACCTTATTGCTTGGAATTCAAAGTATCACATACGAATTAAGGTCTAAACGTCAATAAAATATTATTTATACAAAAAATAGCTTCGTTTGTGAAGCCTAAGTAAGTAAGTAAGTAAATAAGTAGATAATGTCATCAAAGTAAAAAAATTCATAAAAATTGTGGATATTTATTTAACCTGGGCGTACAATTGCACCGTAAACTATCTCAAATGCAATCATTGTGAATGATGGAGTATATCTGGGGATGTTTTATCTCCGTATTACTAGAAATTTACGCTTTGTAACAATTTACATGATGGTAGACATAGAATAATATTTTCTATCTTGTTAACGGTTTGCAACAGTAGAAAAGACTATCAAAAAATGATTAACTCTTTTTGGTATAAACCGACATCTTCAAATGTAGACGTTACATATTCTTATCATAAATGGATATTTTTGTCAGATAACCAAAATTGTGGCCACTATACCACTTGATATGTACGGGAGTTTTTATGAAAAACATTAACTGGAAACTAATAAAACTAGGTGTAATTCATGATATAAGAATATGAAATTATTTCAATACGCGTTCCAATTAACCAGTTAGTTCAATATCAGTACTGAATATGACCTTTATAAATAAGGTTGAACTATAAAATCTAATGTTTCCAGTCATTTTAATAAACATCTTAAACATTACTTATGATATTGCTAATAAGTAAGATAAAATGATCTTTCAGCTTCTTGTACCAGTACCATGTTGTCAATATTTGAAGAAAAAAAATATATTTCAGCAACGAACTGAAGAAAAATATGATTAGTATGAATTTCCTTCAAGATAATAAAAATATACTCATGCTAGATATTTTGGAAAAGTTTAGATAAACAAAGAGCTTGCTATTTAAAATATTCTGAACAGGAAGTTCTAATCAGCATCCATGTGATCTAATACAAGATGCATATACATTGATACTTCTTCCAGACTATGTTTCAATTTTTTAAATTACAAGTTATAAGTTTAGAGATTTTAATTGTTTCTATAGGATACAATGACTTGTAAGTTAGCAACAGCACAGAATGTGTCTTCACAAACCTATGGCATTGGGATTAGTGGTGAAACAAAGTTAATAACTTAGGTTATCTGGATCAACTATCATTTCATTATGCCTGACAATGACAAAATGATTTTTTAAATTCTAGACATTAGATATTCTCGGAATTGTGAATTTTGAATTTGTGGGGCTATTTCTGGAGAGAACCCCCATGATGGCCATATCATGTATTTGTAGTTATTGAACATAATTTGAATAGGTTACATAAGCGCTGTTATATTCATTGTTTGTCGTCTAGTAAATTTAGAAATAACTGTAATTTTCAACTCTTTATTCTTTGGTTTCATTTGTTCTCTTCTAACTGTATTTCACATATTTCGGTTTACTTTGTATTTCATATGTTTGCATCGATCCCGTTAATTATCTTATTGATCCACACTTCAAATTTACTGACGTGAGATGTGATAAACTGGAGAGATACATATGCATGTCGAATCCTACAAGAAGTATGACTGATGAACGGGCTAACACAAGAGGGGACATGAAGCCAGTATATTTTGTCAATAGGAAAATATAACGAATTGAATATCAACCATCTCCATTTGAAACGTTAATCTAAGAAGGCCTAAAACAAGAAAGTCTTTTAGTGTTCTCTAGTGTTTAACAGAATATTACCTGATTTCAATTCCTGACAATAGCTATCTTTAAATCTTAATGATCAACATATTCTATGTAATACCATATCACTTTATTGCATACAGAAGCAACACAATATATAATCTAGGCATCAAGTCGTTAATTTATATTATCGAATAATATTATAGTTTTGCTAAAGCATTTAAATTAAATAATTTCACATCGTTTCTTAGGTTTATTGATTAATTTGTTTCCAACCTACTTTTTTCTAAACCTACATTTACAAAGATATCACAGAGATTCATCTTAAGTGATACGTGGAATAGATTTAATTGTTCATGTAATATAATAGATTCCCATTATACAAAAGATAGTAAAATTATACTTGTAATTCTAATGGTTGAGAGCATGAGTTAGTTAAAGCTAAACCACCATGGAAAATCTGGAAGCACTGGACGGACGTTTCATCCTATAGTTTCAACTGACTCAAGATATCAACTATTGAAATCACTATATTATCTAAAAAACTCATTCTGATATTAATCAACATATGCTCACTAGTGACTGGATTCAAGAGGTATATCCTGGAGTTCTAGTAAAAAGCAATGACCAATGGAGTTCAACCAGGTCTGTGGTCAGATAAGAACTCGCTCAATTTCTTGGATTAATTAAAGTTAGATATTAACACCGTTGCATGCTGGCTGGCTGGCTCAGTGGTCTAGTGGTTAAGCGTTTGCGGGCGAGACTGATAGTTACTGGGTTGTAATCTTGAGAGCGGGGTCATGAATGCCTACTGCTGAGGAGTCCCATAATGGGACGAAACGGGCGTTGAGTGCTTCCAAGTTTTTCATGGTGGTCTAGCTTCAATTGACTCATGATCTCAACTATTGAAATTACCATAATATCCACAAAACCCTTTCTGAAATTATATGTGTGTAAATCATTGGAAACTTCGAAATCCTAATCAAAGAAGTATTTACTTTATTTCATATGAATTTATTTATTACTGTCCTCAAATAATTCACCGTGACTTTTATAAACCGATACAAGTTTGATTCATGTTAACTTTGGTTGAAAACCAAACATATGTGAAATGAGACATGAAATTATGTTAAATGAACGATTCATAAATTTATAACTTATCTTACAGGAAACATATAAATTGCATATTGATTAAGATGAATACTGATAAACTGTAACAGATCTACAGATTGACAGGAAACAAGAAAATGATAAATTAAAACTAAGTTTGCAATTCATATTTGGATACTTTTAAGCTAGTCGTTCGTGTTATATCCTTAGCTATACGATTATCGCAAAATACCATTGCCAATTTAGATACATTGATTTATACTACCAAACTAATGATGCACAAATCTTTCTCAGCTTAGCTCCACCTGTTTAGCCCA